TCGTATTTCTTTTACCGCAAACGCTGCAGAACCAAGTCTATTCGCTAACTTGCATATGTGAGGACCCCACTGCAGCTTGGAATCAACTGTTATACCAAGAAAAACTGTCGAATCCACAAGCTCCAGTGTCTCTCCACTTACAGTAATATTAGTGTCTACTTGTCTAACATTAGGTGTGGTAAATTTTATACATTTTTTTGTTATTTAATAACAGATTATTAACACTAAACAAATGTACCACGCGCGAGATAGCATCATTCACATCGTCATAATCTTACAATTGTCGTTTAATTTTAAACAATAAGGATGTATCGTCAGCGAATAATACGACCTCGTGACGGGTTTCAATAAACTTTGGTAAATCATTGATAGACACAAGAAATAGGAATTGACCCAATATGGAACCCTGAGGAACACCCATATTAAGTAAGACACCGGAAGATCTCTTTCCTTTAACGTCTACCTTTTGGATTCTTCCGAATAAATAAGATTTAATAAGTTCTAATGAAACGCCCCTAATACCATAGTGGTGTAATTTCCTCAATAATGTATTATGTTCAACAAAATCAAAAGCTTTAGATAAATCGCAGAATACCCCAAGGGCATTATGCGATTCCTCTCAAGCCTGAAGAATATTTTTAATAAGATCTACACTTGCATCAATAGTTGAACAACCTCTAGTGAATCCGTATTGTTTTTTTATTGAGTAAAATTGTACTGAAATGGGTCTAAAGTTAGAGGGGTCAAAAGTACTACCAGATTTAAACAAAGGTATTATTTTACTACATTTCATTAGATCAAGAAACACACCACAATCAATACAGTCATTAAATATTGTAGCAAGGTAAGGTGCGATTATATCAATAATGGATTTTATGACTGTAATTGATATTCCCCATAAATCACCAGTTTTCTTAATATTAATGAGCTTTAAATTATCAATTATGTCCTCTATATCAATATTCGTGAACTTAAAGTTAACATTGCATTCATCAACATGATCTTGCAGTAATGATTCGGCGACGGTAGGAGATGAAATTAAAGATTTTGTAGTAGAAGCTGGGATATCAGCAAAGTAGCGCTCAAAGGCACTGGCCACTTCTTGATGAGAAGTTATTATTCTATCATTGATTGTCAAAGTTAATTCAGCATTGCTGTTTCTGACATTCCCAGTCTCCCTATTAATGATATTCCAAGTCATTTTAATTTTGTCAGGTGAATTTTTTATAAGATTGCCTAAGTGCAATGACTTGGCCAATGTACAGACTTTTTTAAACAGCTTGGAATATTTACAGACATACTCATAAAATGACTTATTATGATTTTATGATTTTTCATGATAAACATCATATATCTCTGCCTAATTTTGTGAATTCCAACAGTCGCCCATTCATTGAATGACCTTTTATTATGTAAGATCAGAGTTTTAGAAGTAAAGATGGCACTAAATTCAGATTTAATGCAAATTAAATAAATCCATGTAGTAAACATTCTTCATTACAACATTCGA